TCTTACAGGAAACTGACAAGACGCAGTGGATGGTGAGTGATAGGGTGCTGTTGATTGGCTGCCTTGTGAGTGGTAGAGTACATCTGATTGGCTACCTTCCATATGGTCAGTAGTTCAAAATAGGGACGGTGGCAAATAGCCTTAGTAACTTTGCCATAAGTGAAAAATATAAACTCGTGCGAAAAAGTTGGAAACTACAAAAAAAAGAAAAATATTTTCGAAAAACGAGGATATTATTTTACCACAACAATGATGACCAGTGCTATATAACTATAATATTGACCTGATGGCGTAGGTTCTCTAGTTAAAATATCGAAGAAATATTTTAAAATTACACTAAAGAAAATTACATGAAAAGGCTTGCTTGTTGTATTTCAAGGCAATAATTTCTTAATAAATTATTCGCATTCTTTAAATAGAATATATGTCAAAGTTATGTTAATTCATTGTTAACTGACTTCTTTTTAAAGCGCCAAGCGATAAATACCCGAACGAGGACATGCACAACTTATCCGACAAAGGCAATCGAAATATTTAAACATGAGAAGTTAAATTTTTGGTTGAATAAATAATAAAAACCGGTAAGCTGGTTACCAAGTTCTGTAACTATCAAGGTTGTTAGTGAACTATTTTTTATTAAAGTGTATCACGTGTGTATTTGTTTCAAACTGATTTTGATCTGTTGTAAGTCCCCCAGGTGGCCAGCAGGAAGTTTGTGGACTTCCGAGGCTAAAATCCGGGGTTCGATTCTCCGCGGTGGACAGAGTGCACTTTGTTGCTTTGCGCTAAGAAAAACAAACAAAAAATCGGAATAATACGTCACAGAAATAATCCTTGTAAAATGAGATAGATGAGGTAAGAAGAAGGGCAATCATTTTTATATCTCTTTTCACAATTTTGATTTGTAAACCAATCCCCTCCCTTACCCTGATACTCGAGTCTCCTCCCCCTTTAAATTAAACCATTTCGTAAACCAAATCCTTCGAGAAATCGACAAGACGCATTCATCAACTTACAGGCAGCGCCTCCTAGTGGTAGAGATACTTTCAACCTTGAAGAAGGTGAGTATAAGTCTCCATGTGTCAATCAAACAGGTTATATCGAGAGGATTGACAAGGCTGCGCGATGGACCGGTCAAACACCTAAGTTTTGGAGCTTCAAGATGGAATTGGAATCACCAATCATCAAACAGGTTTTCGGGGCGTGGGGGGGGGGTGAAGTTAAGCTTACTTCTAGGCTAAAAGGATAAAACGATCTGAAGGTGCTTAGAAATTGTCAACCTGCTTCAAGACAAAGATTTCGTTGGACTTGGTTTCGTTCTTATCTTTTCTGTTACTTCTCCCTTTGTGCCAACATATTCAGATTAAAACACTTTAAGTGACAACAGATAATTATTAAAACTTTGTGTACTCAGTTCTTATGGCTCGTTAGAGCGTGGTCAACAGCTGACTGCCGCGTGGAAAGGTCGTAATATAACAAGAGGTCATTAGATCCTTCATGGCTACCCATGCACACTCACACTCACTCTAATAAAAAGAAAAATTTGAATCACTCTTCTTAAACTCTTATACAGTGTCGCCATCTACTACTGTCATGGTTGGGCGTGGACTGGTGGTAAGTATGCCGAGTCTGTGAATTAGAGAATCCAAGTTTCGCATCCCGCGCTTTGGGGCCGTGAGTGCATTATAAGAATGGTGATCAAATTCCACTGTTCAATTAGAGTTGGCGGTGGGTGCTGTTGACTAGCTACCTCCCCTCTTTGCACGAATATCCGAAACAAAGAAATCACAAATCATTCCAATAGTTAATAACCTTGTTAGAAAAATAAAACGGTTTGAACTAGTGTCTAACTAGTGTCTTTTCCAAATCTTAACTTGTACCTCACATCATAGTGTCTACAAAGTACAAGATAAATAAATCAGAGACCTTTATCTTATCGATCTCCCGGATAATCTTGTAAAGTTTAATAAAATCACTTCTTGCCCTTCTTTTCTCAATAGAAAATAAGATACCTTAATATATCCCTCTAAGGTAACCCTCCTATCCCTGAATCATCCTAGTAGTCTTCTTCTGAACCCTTTCCAATATCTAATAAATCCATATCCTTTCTTAGATAAAGATATAGTATTTCAAGTGAAGCCTAACTAGTGATTTGTATATACTGACAAGTCCTTTCTTAGATAAATAGACAGTATTTCAAGTGAAGCCTAACTAGTGATTTGTATATACTGACAAGTCCTTTCTTAGATAAATAGACAGTATTTCAAGTGAAGCCTAAGTAGTGATTTGTATATACTGATAAGTCCTTTCTTAAATAAATATACAGTATTTCAAGTGAAGCCTAACTAGTGATTTGTATATACTGACAAGTCCTTTCTTAGATAAATAGACAGTGTTTCAAGTGAAGCCTAACTAGTGATTTGTATATATACAGATAAGTTCTTTCTTAGATAAATATAAAGTATTTCAAGTGAAGCCTAACTAGTGATTTGTGTATACTTCAGTATATACAAATCACTAGTTAGGCTTCACTTGAAATACTGTCTATTTATCTAAGATAGGACTTATCTAAGTCCTTTCTTAGATAAATAGACAGTATTTCAAGTGAAGCCTAACTAGTGATTTGTGTATACTGATAAGTACCTCTTTTGATTTGTAGCTTCCTCTGACTTATAAACAATATGGCTATGCACCCGCCCTAAAATTATATTAGCTTTACTACTAGCAACAGAGGAGGCAAAACAGCAAAATATGATGTATATACGAACCCGTGTCTGCCTTATTTGTTCAATATAAAAACAACAAAATATGATATATATATATACCAACCCATGTCTGCCTTATTTTTGAAAGTATAATTGCACCCAGTCCGACGACAGTGAAAATGTGTGGTTCGTTGGCCATAGAAGGAACACTGTTGGGTGCCGCAGTCCTCCGTCGCCCGAAACCTTTGGAATCCCTCCCGAATAATAGCCGAATCTTTCCGATGATAGTTCGCATGCATCTGGACGTCGGAAGTACTTATGTAGACTTTATCACACCCCTCCTAGTTGAAAGGATTAGAAAATACACTATATGAACTGGTTAAAAAACAGAAGAGTGGTTTGAAATTAGAGATATGTGAAAAGATAATTGATTGGAGATTTATCTAACATAGTAGAAAGATAATAGGTTAGAATTAGACACGGATGGAGATTGATATACCGGGATTTATGGATAAGATTAAAGATGGATAAATATTACCTAGAAAATAAAGTGGCTAGGATTAGAGATAAATGGAAGGCGTGCTTATCAAGATTAGAGCACCCCCCCCCCCCAGTGGCACAGCGGTATGTCTTCGGACTTACAACGCTAGAAACCGGGTTTCGATACCTGTGATGGGGCTGAGCACAGATAGCCCATTGTGGAGCTTTGTGCTTAATTACAAACAAACGATCAAGATTAGCTATGTATGAAAAATTGGGTGGTTAAAATCAGAGATAGGCGGGGAATGATAGTTAAGATTTAATATGGGTAAAGAAAGAATTAGCTAAGATTGGGAATGGGCTTGTTAAAGTTAAAGATGGGCACAGAATGAAGTAACTAAGATGGGGAATGGGTGTGGAATGGGCTTGTTATAGTTAAAGATGGGCACAGAATGAAGTAACTAAGATTGGGAATGGCTTGTTAAAGTTAAAGATGGGCACAGAATGAAGTAACTAAGATTGGGAATGGCTTGTTAAAGTTAAAGATGGGCACAGAATGAAGTAACTAAGATTGGGAATGGCTTGTTAAAGTTAAAGATGGGCACAGAATGAAGTAACTAAGATTGGGAATGGGTGTGGAATGGGCTTGTTATAGTTAAAGATGGGCACAGAATGAAGTAACTAAGATTGGGAATGAACGGAGAATAATCTCCATGGTTATCTAAATTTGCAAATGTTGAGTAGAAATAAATAAATATCTAGAAAATATAGAACAACAATCACGACGAGGCGAAAATTTTAAGAATTACATAATATACTAATATACGCTTACATTTACTCCAGTTTAACGTCGTACTGCTTTAAATTTTGTTCTTTTTTTAAAAAAATAAATACCAACTTATGATTCGAATATTTAGTAAACAAGTTGCCATTCGCCAAGTCAGGTTACGAACCTCTAAAAAAAAGAATATACAATTTTAAAAAGTTATTATGACTTGAATAATGGACAGACCGTGAAGACACGGCATTATTACAAACATTGTTACTTAAATCAATTTCACACACTTGAAATAAAGAAAAGTGCGCCCTTCCACGTTTATCAAAGAAATATTTTAACAAACAGTATCCCTCTGAGCGTACATTTAAAGATGTAATATTATTGTAAGACCAAAAAGGACAGTAAGTGTTGTTTTTTTATCATGTCATTTTTATTGCAAGCATGACGTTCAAATGTACCCATTAAAATTATGAACGATAAACGCCTTGAGTATTTAATCTTTAGTATTTCGTTCATTGTCTAGAGACACATTGTTCATTATAATTCATCCTCAGACGTTAAAATGGATCCAACGATTTGGGTAAAACGTGTACCGAGCACCCTAGCGACGATACAGAATGATGATAAATTGTAAACATGTGCTCCATCTATCACTTGTACCAAATCAAAAAAAAAAAAGAAGACTGAAAGGAAAACGCACCAGACTCAACGATATTCGTTAGAGCAACGCCCAAATGGCCTTTACAGATATAAAAGTAATTACATTTTGAAGGTCATTAAACCAATATCTCTTTATATTCTACAGCAATTTAGGTAATTATCAGCTACATATATATATATATATATTTTTTTTTTAACTCGAATTGCAAGAATGTGCGCACCGCAACGCTGCCGCTCGACTGGGTGGTTTATAAACGCGTAACAGTTGCTATTTAGCTGTCTGTTTGAGAATACTTGTAGAAAGGAGTGACTCTAAAAAAGTATGCTTATTTTGTATTTTATTAACGAAGTCTATAATTGTTCCAGTAATTTATGAACTTCGCGGAAAAATTAAAAATACTCAAATCAAACGTGGCCCGGCATGGTCATGTGGTTATGGCGCTCGACTCGCAATCTGTGGGTCGCGTGTTCGAGTTCTCGCCCTTTCAGCCGTGGGGGCGTTATAATGTGACGGTCAATCCCACTATTCGTTGGTAAAAATAGTAGTCCAAGAGTTGGCGGTGGGT